GTGAGCAGGAGCAGACGCGGCCTCCCTGTGCTCGGGCAGAACTGGCAGGAGCTGGGGGCCGACTGTGGGCAGGAGAGTCGAGGGCAACTCTGGGGTCATTGACCTGAGACTGGGGACAGGGCCCCCATGGGACAGGGCAGGAGAGGGTGGACCCACGGCCACTGCCTTGGCCTCCCTCCAGGGGCCTGCGTCATCCCCTTGGCGCGTCCCTTCCGGCGGTGCCAGGGCTCTCTTGCCCCGCGTGGCAGGTACGACCCTGACCACGTGTGCAACGCCTCCGACGGCGCCGGCCGCTACGCCTACAGCAAGCAGCCCGAGGTGTGCAAGTGGAACCTGCAGAAGCTGGCCGAGGCCCTGCAGCCGGAGCTGCCCCTCGAGCTGGGCGAGGCCGTCCTGGCCGAGGAGTTCGACGCCGAGTTCCGGAGGCACTACCTGCAGAAGATGCGCCGGAAGCTGGGGCTGGTGGGAGAGCCGCAGGAGGAGGACGCGGGGCTGGCGGCCCAGCTCCTGGAGACCATGCACCTGACCGGTGAGGGACCGCGGCACGGGGCACAGCGGGGCTCGCTGTTTTATTTTGCCATTGTGCAGTTGACCCTCTAAGTGCACGGCTCAGTGGCACTGAGCACCTTCTCGTGCTGTGCAGCCGGCACCACACCCCTCTCCAGAACTTTCTCATCGTCCCAAGCTGGAGCTCTGTCCCCGTGAAGCACCAGCTCCCCTCCCCCAGCCCGGCACCCACCGTCCTCCTGTGTCTGTGAGTTCGACGACGCTGGGTCCCCGTGAGTGGAGTGACACAGCGTGCGTCCTCTCATGACCGGCTTGTCTTACTTGGCGTGCCGTCCTCAGCCTTCGTCCAGGCGCCTGTCAGAGCGCTCTTCCCCCCGCTGGCGCGCACCTGGGCTGCTCACGTTCTGGCCGTTGCGCCGTGTCCACGCTCGGTTCCCCTGGGCACAGGGGCGGGCTGCCGGCCCCCGCGTTTACTCGACTGCTCCGGCTGGAACTTCTCGCACGGACAGAAGCGTCCCGAGTGGGCGTCGCTGTCTTGTTCCCGGTCGTAGAGGAAGAGTGCTCGGGGTCTCCTCACCAGCGAGTTGTGAGCTGTGAGCTTCATCAGCCTGACGCTTCCCTCCGGTTCGAGCGTTTCTGCCACGAAAGGCTGTCGGGCTTCGTCGAGTGCTCTTGCACCAGAGACGCCCCTATGGCTTTATCCTTTCGTTCACATCTCCTTGGGTTCCGGGGATAATCCCCCACCCCGCTGTGGCTGTGATCCTTTTGACACGCTAGATTTTGCTAGTACTCGGTGGATTTTTGCATCTAGCAGGGATATTAGCCTGTAGTTTCCTTTTCTCACAGTGTCCGGCCTTGATATTAAGGCCTCGCTGGCCTCACAGACGAGTTAGGAGGTTTCCCTCCTCTTCCCATGTTACCAAGAAGTTTGAGGACTGGTACTAGCTCTTCTTTAACCGTTTGGGGGAATTCACCAGTGAAGCCGTTTGGTCCTGGCCTTTTTTCCTTGGGAAGTTTTTAATTGCTGATCAATCTTTTTACTCACTTTATTTAGATTTAGTTCTGGCTAGGTTTTCTATTTCTCCTTGGGCCAGTTTCGGTAATTTGTGTGTTTCTGGGAATTTGTCTCGGTCATCCAGGTCTCTAATTCTGGCATGTAATTGTTCATGGTATTCTTTAAAAAAAAAAAAAGTCGGGTGCAGTGCCTCACACCTATGATCCCAGCACCCTGGGGAGCTGAGGTGGGAGGATTGCGGATTGCTTGACACCAGGAGAGCAAGAACAGCCTGGGCAACATGGTGAGACCCTGTCTCTACAAAAAACTTTTTAAAAATAGCCAGGCATGGTGGCGCATGCCCACAGTCCTAGCTACTCGGGAGGCTGAAGTGGGAGGATCATTTGCACTCAGGAGTTCAAGGTTGCGGTGAGCTGATTATGCCACTGCACTCCAGGCTGGGCAACACAGCAAGACCCTGTCTCTGGGGAAAAAATCTTGTTGTGGTAATAACACTTACCATGGATCCACCTCTTAACTGTGCAAGTGTACGACACGTGACTGTCCACCATGGGCACGGTGTCACACGGCAGATCTGTGAAGCTCGTGCACGGTGGCCATGAGTGACTCCACATTCCCCCTCCTCGCAGCCCTCCCTGGCAACCACCGTCCACCTTCGATTCCGTGAACTGACTGCTTTAGATGTTTCACGTCAGCGAATCGTGCGCGTTTGTCTCTCGTAATCCTTTCCTGTTCCTGCATGGTCAGTAGCCTCGTCCCCGCCTCCGCTCCGGAATTCCGTCGTGTCCTCTTTCATCAGTGTAGCTAAGGATGTTCGCTGATCTTGTCAAAGAACACACTCTTGCTTTGACTTTTCTCTATTATTTTTCTATTCTCTCTCATTTATCTCCCTCTAAGCTTTATTATTTCCTTCCCTTCTGCGAACTTCGTTCTCATTCTACTCTTTATTCTCACCTGCTCCTCAGGCGTGAGGTGGTTGGTTTGAGATCCTGTTTGATGCAGGCGTTGGCCGCTGTGCGTTCCGCCCATCGCTGGGCTGTGGTATCCCGCGCGTTCTGGTACGTTGTGTTCACACGTCGCTAAGTAGTTCCTGAACTCCCTGCTGACTTCTTGTAGGGCCCATTTAAGAGTATGACAGTTAATCTTTACATCATTTGTGAAATTTCTAGGTTTTTTTCCTCTTAACAAATAAAGTGTACACCTTTTTAAGTAACTTCTAGCTTCATTCCATTGTGGTTGGAAAAGTTATCAGTCTTTTTAAATCTATTGAGACTTGTTTTGTAGCTTAATATATGGTCTACCTGGAGAACGTCCCAGGTGCGCTTGAGGAGACTGTGCGTTCCGCTCTCGCTGGATGTTCTTCACGTGTGTCCGCTAGGTGTGGACGGTCTGTGCTGTTGTTCAAGCCTCCGTTTCCTTACTGATCTTTTGTCTGTTATTAAGTGTCCTACTAAAGTCCCCAACTGCTATGATAGGACTGTTGTCTATTTCTCCCTTCAATTCTGTGAATGTTTGTGTATTTTGGGGTTCTGCTGTTCAGTGCATATTTATAATTTTCACATCCTTGTGAACTCTTTTCCTTTTGCCTTTCTCCACGTTCTAAGAATTGACTCTTACAGGTAGCAGAGTTGCACAGCGGAGTGTGCTGGGCTCTTAAGAACTGACTCTTTTGCCCATGTATAATGCCGTTCTTTGTCGCTTGTAACAGTTTTTGACTTAAAGTGTACTTTATCTAAGTATAGCCACCTCAGGTCTGCTTAGGTTACTGTTTGCATGGGATTTTTTTCAACACAGGTCTCACTCTGTCACCCAGGCTAGAGTGCCGTGGCGTCATCACAGCTCACAGCAACCTCAAACTCCTGGGCTAAAGGGATCCTCCTGCCTCAGCCTCCCGAGTAGCTAGAATTACAGGTGCCACTACCATGCCCAGCTAATGTTTTTTTTTTGGTAGAGACAGGGTCTCACTATATTGCCCAGGCTGGTCTCAAACTCCTGGGCTCAAGTGATCCTCCCGCCTTGGCCTCCCAAAGTGCTGGGATCACAGGCGTGAGCCACATGGCACTTGGACGAATATTTTTTCATCCTTTCCGTTATCGACCTATCCACATCTTCGAGTATCTTACAAGTCTCTCGCAGACAGCACGTGGCTGAACTGCGTCTCTTTACCCGTTCTGCCGGTCTGGTCTGCCTTGCGGTGGGGACAGTAATCCATTTACTTCCTAACTACTGATAAGGGAGTACTTCTGCCATTTTGCTATTTCTGCGTCTTACATCTTTTTTGTCCCTCTTTGTCTCCATTATTGCCACCTTTTGGTTTAGTTGTTTTTGTAATATACTGTTTTGAGTCCCTCGTCAGTTTCTTTTGCGTTTAATTTCTAGATACTGTCTTAGGGTTACCGTGGTTACGTGTGACTGTGTTTGAACAAGTCGGGTTGAGGACCTCAGTGTGTCGTGTTGCGTCCAGAGCGGGCAGTGGTGACGGACAGCGTGGGGGCAGGCGCCCAGCACGGCGCCTCCTCACACCGTCCACAGGGAACAGCGGTCGAGCCGGGTGCAGATGCGCAGAGGCCCAGCAGGGGGTGTGGCGGGGCAGCAGGCTCGGCACGGGTGCTGGACAGAGGGTGCGGGAGGCCCGTGCCTGCCTCCAGCCCTCAGCCGCCTCTGCTCCAGGTGCCGACTTCACAAACACCTTCTACTCCCTGAGTTCCTTCCCGGTTGAGCCGGAGTCGCCGGACCTGGAGGAGTTCCTGGCCGTGCTGACCGCACAGTGTGCCTCCCTGGAGGAGCTGAGACTTGCCTTCCGACCCCAGATGGATCCCCGGTGGGTACCTGGGTCTTGCTTCCTCGGAATTTGTTTCCAGAAAGGGAGGAATGTTCAGAAAATGGGTTCAAGGGGAACGGTGGAGACAGAGCTGGCGGGGGCTGCGCAGGGGCCCAGGTGGCCACTCCCGTCCCAGGGACGAAGGCAGTCAGGGCCTGTCTCTTGTGGCGTTGGGCCCCATTGGTCACAGAGAAGACAAGTGATGCTGACACAGGTGTGACGGGGGTCAGACGGCACGGCTGGGCAACACTGGTCTCGTTTCCCAGAACAGTCTCTGGTCTGCCAGGCAGGTGGGCGCTCAGATTCCCAGGCAGACCACACTTTCCTGCACTGTCCCATCCAGAGAGCTTCCCATGTTCGGGATGACGTGTGGAAGGTGCTGGCTGTGGCAATAGCAGACCCTGGTCACACAGGAACGTGGGGAGGGGGGCCGTGGGCGCACAGGCCAGCGGGACCTGCTGAGTGCACAGCCCGCCGGGGAAGAGACCACCCCCTACACGCTAAACCCTGGGGTCACCCTGGCGTCCCGTCAGGATGCAGGTGGAAACAGCAAGCTGCAGACTGTCCCTGCCCTCAGCAGGATGGGGGGATGGGAGGGGGGGTGCCCACCCGGGCTCGTCCCCACAGCAGGGCTCCGGGCTGGGGTGGGCACAGGGCCTCCCAGCAGCTCAGGACAAGCCTCGTGCTGCCCCCTTCCCCGCTGCAGGCAGCTCTCCATGATGCTGATGCTGGCGCAGTCGAACCCGCAGCTGTTTGCGCTCATGGGCACGCGGGCGAACATCACGAGGGAGCTGGAGCGCGTGGAGCAGCAGGCGCGGCTGGAGCAGCTGGGCCCGGCCGAGCTGCAGAGCAGGAACAAGGAGCACTGGGCCAGCTGGCTCCAGCGGTACAGGTGAGCCCACGGGGGCCACGCGAAGGTGACTACAGATAGCCTGGCGGGGGGGGGAGTGCCTTGGGCCCCACCTGCTAGGAGAGACCAGCCCGGATGTGATTCCAGAGCCCGTCTGGACAAGGACATGGAGGGTGTCGGGGACACCGCTGCCTGGCAGGCCGAGCGCGTGCGTGTGATGCGCGCCAACAACCCCAAGTACGTGCTGAGGAACTACATCGCACAGAATGCCATCGAGGCTGCCGAGGGCGGAGACTTCTCAGAGGCAAGCACACACTGCCCTGCGCCCTCCCCGGGAGGGAGGGCCGCCTCAGACCCCTCACGCCCCCCTCCCCCAGGTGCGGCGAGTGCTGAAGCTGCTGGAGACCCCCTACGACAGTGAAGCGGCGGCCAGCGCGGAGCCCGAGGGTGTGGGGGCGGCTGGCAGGAGGCGCTCCTACAGCAGCAAGCCCCCGCTCTGGGCGGCAGAACTGTGCGTGACGTGATCCTCGTAACGGCCTTGGGGGCTCCACACTCCTGGAGTCTCCGAGGCCCTCGAGTGCTGCCGAGTCACCGAGACAGGGCCAGGCCGCCCCCTCGCCCGCCTCTCCATGAGGACAGAGACGTCCAGTCAGGACCCGACCCGTCTCTGCCTGACGCCAGCTCAGCAGCACAGCACAGCCCGGGGAGCACCCTGTGAGGACGGGAGCTTGGCCTCGTGTGTGGGTGACGCGATGGCCGGTCCCAGGGACCAGGCAGCTCCTCCAGCCCTCACCGTGTCTCCCAGGCCCCTCAATAAACCACCTGCTTCCTCAGTCTGCCTCCGTGTGCTCATTCCTCCCTCCTGCCCCGTCCCCAGCCCCGGAGAGACGAGAGGCAGTGACAGGCTCAGGCACCTTTATTCCTCGCGTCCGCGCGGAGCAGGCCCTCAGGCGTCCTGGTAGTAGTTGTTGAAGTTGATGCGCAGCAGGAAGTCCTCCAGGTGGGGCTGGTAGCCGCGGTTCACCAGCTTGGTCACCACTGGGGGGTCGGCGAGCAGCTCAGACCTCGCCCGCACTCGGGACCCCACCTGGGCTGACCCCAGCCCCACCTGGCTCGGGGCTCACCTTTGAACAGGAAGTGGGAGTAGTACTTGAAGGTGCTATAGGACTGCTGCAGGAGGGCGAAGTTCGGGTGCTCAGCGCCCCGAGGCCCGCCGGCCGGGCCCCAGGCCTGCGCCATGAGCTGGCTGCGGAACTTGAGCACGAGGCTGAAGACGCTGTGGATGATGTTCATGACCGGCGCCGCCTTCTCCGTCAGCAGGCCCCTGCCGGGGGGAGCGCTACTGGGTGGGCTGCGCCCGGGAGCGGGTGGGGACGCGGCCCCAGGCGTCCCCGGCCTCACCTGAAGACGGCCTTGTGCAGGTACTCGGCGTGGGCGCGCTGGATGTCCTCAAGGTCACGCACCGCGGCCAGCCTGGCCCTGAACTCGCACCAGGTGACGTGCAGGATCTGGTTGGCGATGTAGCCCTGGATGACCTTCACGAAGTGCTGCATCTCGTGCTTGAACAGCTGCAGCTGGCGGAACTGCACGGAGCCGGCCACGTGGCTCACCAGGGCTGGACGAGGGCAGAGCAGAGGGTGAGCGGCGGCCCGGGCCCGGGGCGGGTCCCGCGCAGTCTTACCTGTGCGCTTGAGGTGGAAGCAGACGTCCTTGAGCGTCCACATCATGAGCTTCAGCTGCAGCAGGAAGGAGAAGATGCCGCTGTACTGGCCCAGGCAGCTCTCGGTGATGACCATGTTGAGGGGCCAGTCGACCTGCGCGAGAAGCCCCGCTCAGCACGCAGCCCCCCGGCACTCAGCCCCCCAGGGCAGCCCCCTCATCTGCGTGGCGGGAGCCGCTGCTGACCTTGTACCTGAGCTCCAGGCAGCTCAACACGTCCGGGGCATTGGGCGCGAACACCTCCGGCAGGTACTTGAGGGCGAAGGAGAGGTTGGCGGCGTGCGGGGTGTCCCCGTGGAGGCTGTACTGCAGGGCCTTGCTCAGGACGGAGTTGAGGACCAGCGGGTTGAGCAGCTCTCCCGGCGTCTGGCCGGCCCCGAGCTGAGGGGAGAGACAGGCACCCGGAGGAGTTCCACGCCACTCAGCAGGGCCCAGCGCCTCCCCTCCCAGGGGACCTCCCCTCTGCAGCCAGCGCCACCCCCACCCTGCACCTGGGGTCACCTTCTCAAAGAGCAGGTCGCTGAGGGACTGCGCGAACTCGCCGTCCTCCATCAGCAGGAAGTGCCGCAGGGCCTCGCAGTGCGCCTCGAGGTGCAGCTCCACGAAGAAGTAGTCGACCGCGGCCTTGTTCACCAAGGAGATGCTGCAGTGGGAGCCCAGGGTCAGGGGCAGGCAAGGGCAGGGGCAGGGTGGGGGGGCGGGGCAGGGGCAGGCAAGGGCAGGGGTGGGGCGGGCAGCACTCACTGGGCGGCCAGCGGGGCCGTGAGGGAGCGCTTCATGAGCACGGGCAGCGTCAGCAGCTCGCTCAGCTGCACCGCAGTCTCGTCCGCGGCGGACTGGACGTGGGGGTCCACAGGGAAGGCGAAGGCCCGCGGGCGCACGTGGTGTAGCAGGTGGGCAGCAGGAGGCTCCGCTGAGGGCAGCCGGCTGTCAGTGCGCTCAACGGCACGTGCTGGCCCAGGACTGCCGCCCCTCCACCCTCCGCAGCCGTCCACTCACACATGCACTCGTAGCTGTCCGGGTACTGCTCCAGCGGGTACTGCCTGGCCAGGCCTGCCAGGTAGGCCTGCTCCCGGCCCCAGCGCCGGGCCTCCGCCTCCGCCTCTGCCTCCGCCTCCGCCTCCACCACCTCCTTGCCACAGCCTGGGCTGCTCGGGGCAGCTGTGTCTTCCTACGAAGACACCAACCTCAAAGAACTGCCTCCCTGCCCAGCATGCTGCTTGCTGGTCCCCCTCCCCGGTGCTGAGAAAGAGGAAAACAGCACATGAGACCCAGAGGGACGGAGCCCTCGCCGTGTGCTCCCCGAGCCCCTGGGAAGTGTCCACCCTGACCTGTGGGTTCAGAGGCCAACTTGGAGACAGGTCCTCAGCGCCTCCACTCCTCCCGGGGCCTGAGTGGGCACAAAAGGAAAGAAGGGGGCATCAGAGCCAAGTGCCTGCTGAGGGGACAGTGGGGCCGGCCCTAGCTCAGGCCGTACCTCCTATGGCCCCAGGACAGCAGCTCAGGCTCTGGCTGACAGAGGAGCCCTGAAGGCAGCTTCATGAGCTGCTGCCTCCTCTTCCCGCTGGGACTCTGTGGGCCCCACGGGCCCCAAAGCTCCACTTTGACCACGGCTGCCCCACTCTAACCTGGCTCCTCGGGGACGCCGTCTCCCAGCACATCGGGCTTGGCCACGGCAGAGGGCGAGGTCTGGAGGCTGCTCTCTTCCCTGCTGCCCGAGCTGGAGGAGCAGATGGACAGCACCGTTTCTACAGGGGACTGTGGCCCATGTTCCAGGGCAGGGCTCTGTGTCCCCAGGCTGAGGCCTGCCTGGGACAGCTGGCCAGGGGGGATCTGGTGGGGCGTGGGTATGTTGGGCTCAGCTTCTGGTGACAGTGGCCCAGGCAGCATGTGGGACTGAGAGATGTGTCCGTGGACGTTCCACCGTGGCCTAGTGGGAGCCACGTCAGACACGTTCTCCCCAACCCTGATGCTGGCATCTGACACGTGTCCGTGGACGTTCCACCGTGGCCGAGTAGGAGCCTCGTCTGACACGTTCTCCCCAACCCTGATGCTGGCATCTGACACGTGTCCATGGACGTTCCACCGTGGCCTAGTGGGACCCACGTCAGACACGTTCTCCCCAACCCTGATGCTGGCATCTGACACGTGTCCGTGGACGTTCCACCGTGGCCTAGTGGGAGCCACATCTGACACGTTCTCCCCAACCCTGATGCTGGCGTCTGACACATGTCCGTGGATGTTCCACCGTGGCCGGGAGGGAGCTGTTCCAGGAGCGCAGCCTTCTGTGGGAACACCAGCCCCCGACAGGTGCCCACAGAGCTGCTCTGTGGGGCGGCTGCTCCCGTCAGGACTGACGTGGTCGGGTGGCTGTGGCTGGGGCAGAGCCACCTGTGTGTCAGGGACACGTGCATCCAGCTGCATGCAGGTGTCCCCCCACACCGGCTGCTCCAAGCTGCCCAAGCAGCCCTCTGCAGCCAGGAAGGGCCCTGGTGAAGGCGCAGTGGCCACAGCTGGCCGCAGGATAGTACTGAAGTCGTACTCTTGCAGCTCGGAGGGCTGAGTGCTGGCTGCTGCAGGTGTCTCCCCGAGAGCCGAGGAGGGCGGGTCTGAGCCGATGGTCTGCAGCACTTCCTCCAGGAGCGGGACCTCGCTGGTTTGCACAGGCTGCTCAGCCCCCGCCACCTGCTGGGGCCCCGTGCCACCAGCCCCCACCGCTGCAGCCTCCAGGAGCTGTGGCGTCGGCATGCTCGGCCTGCTGGGGCAATGCCAGGCTGCCAAGTGCTGCTCTCTGAGCCTGGAATCACAGCCTCGGCCTCCGTCTGCGTGCTCAGGACCCAGAGACACGGCCTGAAACATAGTGCCATTGGATCCAGTCTGACCTCAGTTTCCCTCCAGCCACCTAACCCCGTCTCCCAAGTTCAACTCTATGACCGTGGCTGACACTCACCAAGCGCCAAGGACTATGGGGACATGGCCAGGCCCAGCACACCCCACTCAGAACTAGGGCGCCCTGGGCCCTGCCCTGTCCCCTCACCTGGGAGCAATCACTCGGGAGGATGGCCAGCAGCTCCTGGGGCTTGTGAACCTCCGACACGTCTGTCAGCATGCCCTGAAATTCAAGCCAGCAGGACAAGAACAGCAGCTCAGGGGTGACCAGCAGAGCTGGTGCCCAGCACAGCACAGCCCCACTGCCCACGCCTGCCACGCACACTGACCAAGACGAGCCTGGGCTGTGGAAGCGCTCAGCACCTGCGAGCTCCCCACCTGTACCTGTGCAACTGGGTGTCACAAAGGGGGCAGCACAGTGCCCTCCTGCAGCTGATGAGAACGGCCGACTGCCCCTACACGGGCACATACGTCTGTGTGCAATTTCGGCAGGTTCACAGACCCCCAAAGCCAGGGGAAAAGCTTCCATCTAAAACCACTGCAATACCTGGATGCGCTTCTCATCTTCTACGAGAAAGCGAAGCCGCGCGCTTTCCAGGCGGTGCCTCTGGATCCTCCACAGCGCCCTCTGCTCCCGCCGAGCCGCCTCCGCGGACAACTTGCTGTAATGGTCGACCAGCGCCTGCCTGAAGCCATGCCCGGAGAAGACACGGTCACCAATGGTGCCCCGTGGGCTGGGGTGGGCACCTCCCCAGGCCCCTGATACGGCCGTTCCCTCTGCGCCCTCACAGCAGCTGCAGGGGCAGCACCTGGCTTTCCGCCCACCAGACTGGGAGACCCCGGCCCCCGTCAGGGTAACGAACACCAGAATGAGATCCCACGCAGCCTGGGTGAGGGGGTGAGCAGAGCCCTCGGGAAGCCAGGCCTCGCCTCTGGCGTGCATCCGCCTTCCCATTCTGCAGATGCGACCCCCAGGGACCGAGACTACCAAATAAAAGCACCCGAAGCAAAACCAACACAAACGTTTTATTTGCCAAATTCAAAGCTCGCCTTCCCGATCACTCCCAGAGACTGAGGCTCTCTCCAACCGCAACTCGGCCCAAACCTGAGCTAAACATTTCCAATTTGGCTGCCGCAGGCCAAGATCACGGTCTCTGTGCCGTGTTTTCTCCTCCTCACATGCACGCGCGCACACCCTACGTGTGCGCGTACACACGCATCAGCGCGCACACACACCCTCCTGCACGCACACCCCTCGCCGGCTCCGTCAGCAGCAGCCAAGGTCGGGACGACGGGTCACCCCGCGAGGCTAAGCAGGACAGCCACCTCTCCCCGACAGGCTTTCTCTAAGAGGCTGAACAGCCCCTTCAAGACTCCAGCTCCACTCCCAGGTTATAGGGCAAGCTGGCGACACCACAAGGAGACAGACTTTCGGATGCTGTGCTAGACAAATGCCAGGACACTAACACGGCATGTGGACCTCGCCTCGATTCTCACGTGGACGAGAACACCACCCGCAAGAAGACGCTCTAGGACAGCGGTCCCTGAGCACAGCCAAATGCCAGAAGCACTGACCCGCGGGGGAAGCCTGGGGTCTGCATGTGGGTCTTTCTACCTTAACGTATACTTGATGTCTCTCAAAATAAAAGTCAAGTCGCCGCCACTAAGGTTAGACGGCGCTGTGGGTCCCTGAACCACGGGCCCCGGGCCTCGGCCCTGCCGCCTACCTCGCCTTCCTCTCCAGCTCCTCCTCCAGGGCCCTCAGCCTTCTCTCCCTGTCGCGGAGCTCGCGGGCGTAGCTGAAGTCGTCATCCAGCTCCTCCTGTCTGGCCGCCCGGCGTCGCTGCGCCACACACAGCCGGGTTTGTTAAATCAGGACTGCACACGCCTGAACCCCGCGGGGGCAAGGCCCACCCACCTCCTGGTCCTTCACAAACTGCTCTTTCAGCCTCTGAAACTGCTCTCGCTTCCGGGCGTCCAAGGCCATCTGTTCCGACATCTGCCGGTCTGCGTCGGGACAGGGAGAGGTGCATGGTCACAAGGAGCCCCCACAGGGGCCCCCACACCGCCAAGGGAGGACCTGGGCCGTGCTCACCACTCAGCGCACTCAGCACCCTGGACGCTGCCTCCCGGGCGTGGACAATCAACTCTTGCTTTGCAATTTCCATACGTAGTTCCTGAGAAAGAAAATTGGTACACAAAGTGTCCTGATCCTCTGTCCCCTCGCCTAGGATGGCCTGCGAAAGGGGACGGATGCTTGGGACACCCACTGTTGTCGCACCCACCCCTTCAACACCCTGCGCAGAACCAGGGTCGGCAGGCGGGACGCACAACTCGAGGCTGTGAGGAGGGCACCAGGCAGTGACAGAGAGGTGCCCTCTGTGCTGAGCAGCGACAAGCTGGAGCTAGCAGGCTCAGAGAAACATCTGGGGCTGAGGCCCCAGGCTGAGCGCGCCTACCCTGGAGGGAGACCGGGGGTCTCACAGAGGGGCCTCCCCCCTTGGCCTCATAGGTCTGCCTCTGCCCAGGGCAACCTGCTGCCCACCGGGGAACAGGCCAGAAAGATTGTTCCTGGGAATGGCACTGACCCCAGCAACAATCCCCCCAGTACACAGGATACACACAGCCCCGTCCCAGGCACACCCACCCCTCTGAGCAGGAGGGGAGCCTGCACGGGCCACACGGGTGGGGACCCCCGGGCCCTGCCCCTGGAGCTCGGCTGGGAATGGGTCTGTCCGGAGCTGGCGGGCCCAAGGGAAACCCCCCTGGAGCTGCCCACGTCAGCAAAGCCTGGGGTTCAGGCCACCCAGGCCCAGGAGAGAGGACAGAGCCCCCATCCTGAGCATCTGGCTCCCCCTCAGCACCCACCCAGCCACTACCAGGATGGAAAACGCCAGAAGGGAGACTCCCCATCTTGCACGTTGCACACCCAGCGCCCCTCCCAGCCAGCCTGAGTTCCCAGGGGGTGCGGGGAGGTGCAGAGACAGCCCCCAAGACCCTGGTGCACGCACCTTCTCCTCCTTGCTGATGGAGCTGTGACGAGCCACCCTCTCCATCCGCCCCACGTAGACAGCACAGTCCTTCTCAATCTCCTTCAGCTCCTCAAGGGAGAAGATCACCGAGATGCGAGGGACAGGGGTGTCGGACGAGCAGAGGTAATGCTGCCGGGAGGGGGAGGCTGCAGTGAGCCCTGGCAGGGCCGGGGCAGGCGGCACGAGGACCAGCCTGGGCCCCCAGAGCCCTCCCCTCCCCAGCTGTGCCGGGACCCCCCTCACCCGGGGGCAGCAGAGCTTCAGCAGGTTGATGGTCTTGCCGCAGACGTACACGTCGTAGGCGATGTGCTTCAAGAACACGGGCACGCAGTCCTCCACCTCCTTGGAAATGAGCACGTAGCCATGGGTCCAGTAAAACTTGTCTAGACGTGGCAGAGAACACACAGGTGGCATCGTGATGGGCCCAACCCCAGGCCCACAGGTGTGCAGGTTCTGCCAGCAGCCAGCTGCCACCTACCTCTGAAGCCCAGGTATTCGTGGTTCACCTGGATCATGAACTCGCCGTAAACGTCTCTGAAGACCCCACTGTACACCCAGTCGTGAATGAACCTGCGGACCACGGGAAGGCAGTGAGGTGGGCGTGGCCAACAGTATGGTGGGGGTGGGCGGCAGTGAGGTGGGCATGGTGGGCAGAGGAGGGCACGGCCCCCTGCCCAGGACACCCACAGCCAGAGCCCACCTAGCCCGCCTTCCTCTTGGTGTGTGATCCCCGCATCAGCAGGTGTCTGGCGAGAGGACGCTCTCAAACACCTGCAGGGTCGGAGTGCAGCCCCGCCCCACCCTTCCGGGGAGCCCAGGCCTGCGCGCACCGCGTGTAGGGCTCGCAGCTGGTCTTCAGCAAGGACAGCAGCACAGGGTAGTGCTCATTGCTGCAGTTGTCCAGCGCCTCCTGGTACAGGTAGGACAGCAGCTTCACTCCCTGCGGATGGCAAGGGCAGGTGGCTCAGCGCAGCCGGAGCTCGGAGCGCAGCCGCAGCCCTGCCCAGGAGCAGCCCCAGGAGAGCCACGCCCAGCCGCCCCAATTCCTGGAACTGGCCAGGCCACCGCGCTCAGCAACGAGGCACAACTCACCGTGGGGAACGCAGCCCTGGGCCCTCCTCCGCTGGCTCCCGGGAGCGCAGTGCCCACGCCACAGAGCTCAGCCAGGTACCTAGACCCAGAGGCTGGATCAGACCGAGCCATGGGGCTCTAGGTCCCCAGGCCTGGACCAGACACCAGGTGAGCAAAACCTCTGTGTATCTTCCTGCTCCCCAAAGTGACTGACCCACCCAGCCAGGCTTTAAAAACCACTTGCATCCCAACAACCCAGACCTGAGCTACCTGCCAGACCCCCACCCCCAACACGCAGCCCAGCTGCCCACCCGCTCCCAGGCTCCAGCCAGGACTCGAGCCCTCTCGTGTCTGTGACTCCCCTGCCCCACACTTGGGCTCCATCTCAGCCCCCCGCTGCTTTGCCCAGGTCACCACCTGCTCTGGCCTGGATGGCCAGGCCCCTCTCCCCTGCACCTGGGTCTGAGCCACACACGGCAGCACCACACACGGGCCAGAACCCCCATCCAGGGCCCCAGCTCCCCGCCCCCACTGCATCAGGCACTCTCAGCCTTCGGGTCCCCTGCGTGTGGAGGCCCCACCTCACGTGGCTCCCGCTGCACCCCAGCCCCCAGCCCCTCTCCCTTCTCCTGACGGCACTTGCCAACACTGCCTGGTTATTTACAACCCTGGGTGCTGCCCAGGCAGAAGCCCCCGGGCCAGGGCAGGGCTGGCCGCAGGGGGCCGACAGCAGATGTCCACAGTACCCAGCACCTGGTGGGCTCGGCCAGGCAAGGGCTGTCCCGTCACCTGCCGAGGGCTGACCTCACGGGCCGTCCCTGCCAGGGAGCAGGGCTGACCCTCCACCGCCCAGCAAGCCCCAAGGCTCACCTGAGCTGTCGGCCCAGTTTCTTGAAGAGAAAGCCGATGGTGAGGAGGCTCAAGGTGGGCGGTGTGGAGAGAACGCAGGCCCGGTAGTACTGCAGGTACCTCCTCAGGCCGCTGGTGAAGGCCTGTGGGCGAGGGATCGGGAGGAGAGCGGCTGGGCACACAGACAAGGCTGTGGGCTCAGGGCCTGAAGGTGCCCCGGTGCTGGGGAAGGGGCTCTGCTTCCACGCCTCAACCTTGGGGCTCCATTCTCAAGCGGTGGGTACTGTGGGTTAAGTCCAGCCACCCAGCCAGGCCAGAAGCAAGGACCCCTCACGGGCAGCCACGGGCCCACCACAAAGCCTGTCGTGGCAACTCATGCGGGGCCCTGGGATGGTGCTGGAAAGGGTATCCGGACTCTGCACACCGGCGCTGACCCTGGAAGGCCTCAGCTGCTCAGACCACAGGACAGGAAAACCCTAGAACCGTCTCAGCCCACACACCCGCAGGAGTCATGTGGCCTGGCCTGGCCACACGTGCTAGACAACCAAGAACCACAGTCCTGCCTTCCTTGGTGTCCCCTCTCTGTCCCCCGACCCCGGCCTGGTGCCCACTCCAACCCATTCTCCACCCTGCAGCACTCGGGGCCTCCACACTCGCTGCTCCTGTGCCCGGAAGGTCGCACCCAAGCGGCTTGGGCCACACCCACCTCCCCAGCCTGCACTGCCCAGACCTGAACCTCACCTGTCACCCCAGCGACCCACATGGCACCAACGCACGCAGGGGCCCGCGCAGCCCGGCTCCTCCTGGGCCCTGTGCCCTCTGCCCATCTTCCTGATGCCCTCTCAGCTCTCCCAAACCACCCTGCGCACCTACACACCTGTCCTCTCCCCGTCAGGCCGCACCCTGACATCCTGTGGAACCCACCAGCACACGAGCCAGCTGCGAGTCTTTCAACAGTAACTCCTGGAGCCAGACTGGGCTCAGAACCCCCAGCACCTGAAGTCCGGCAAGTCAGACACGGCGGCCCTGCCCTGCTGGTCGTGCAACGCACTGGGGCCCATGGGGCGCAGGCAGCTCCTGCCCCCACACACTGTCCGTACCTGCCTTGCTCACCCCACGTCAGCCGGTCCTCCTCTCGGGCCACCAAACATTGGCCACGCCTGCCTCCCCATCCCATGACCCAACACATCTGTCCCAGGTGTGCAGTGGAATGACGCGTGAGGTCAAACACCAGCACCGGTCACCCCATTCCTGAAGAGGAACTACCAGGTTTTAGGTGTTGCCATGGAAACAAAAGGTTTGGACTCAGTGGTCCTGGAGCAGGACCTCTGATCCTCTTTCCAGAAGGTATACACGGCTCTCGTGACGGTGTGTGACAGCCGTGAGGCTGAGGGCCGTACCTGGAACACGAGGCCCTTGCTGTATGAGGAGTCCAGGACGGGCTGCAGGGAGAAGTGGCTCAGGCGTGTGTAGTACGTCCCGTATTCAGCCACCTCCGAGAGAAGGCTGCTGATGCTCTCGGGAGACGCTCCTGACACGTGGACGCCGCGCTTCACCACGAAGGCCTGGGCCGGCTGGGCAGGGGCAGAGGAGAGGTCACAAGGGCCAGGCAGCCAGACCCCAACCACCAAACTGCTCAGAGTGCCCCCAAGGCCAGGCACCCAAAGCCAGACCCACAAACAGGGAGTTCTAAAAGCAGAAAGCAAAAACACCCAAAAGGCATATTCAAAATTGTCCCACCCCTACTAACAAAAAACATACAAACCAAAACAAGGTATAATTTTTCCCTGACCACATTGAAAAATACATGTTTAAAATGCCAACTGTGGAAGAGGGTGCAGAAAAACAATGCCTTCCACGTAACACAAGCGCACACGGACCAGCTCCTTGTGGCGGGAGCTTTAGAAACACCTGACAGGAAGTCTGATAAGTCAACTCCTGGGGATGTGCCCAGAGGAAACAATGTGCACAGAGTCCTGACAGCAAGCTGTCCACAGCACCATCCACGACCGCAGGGCACGGAGCATCCGAGACACCCTCACACGCAGCGTGGCGGCAGCAGCACCAGAGCGGACGTCACAGCGGGACGTGCCTCCGCTCAGACAGAGGACAGCTATCAAACCAGGACCACGCTGTACACCCTGAGGAAATGTCACCAAGAGGGCAGAAGGAAAGACACGATAAAGAGCAGAGCAGACATAAACGGACAGTAGAAAACAGAGAGTCAACTAAACCATAAGTTGGTTCTTTGAAATGATCAACAAAATTGGCAAATCTTCAGCTGGAATGCTTAACAAAAAAAATGACTGTAAAAAAGAGAAGATTCAAATGACTAAAATCAGAAATGACAGTGGGAACATTACTAACGATTTTATAGAAATAAAAAGCACTGTAAGAAAATACAGCTCGTAGCTGGAGAGCCGCGCGGGGCTAGAGCCACCATGGCGGCTGAGCGGAAGACCAAGTTGTCCGAGAACCTGCTGTGCATGAAGTTCACGCAAAGGGGACTGGACTCGGAAACGAAGACACAACTGGAAGAGGAAGAAAAGGAAATCACTGGTGAAGAGCACTGCTACTTGGATTTGCCAGCACCGACAGAGAAAGAGGGTTTCATGATAGAAGAGCACAGTTCCTTGCTACGGAAGATCTCCTCTAGGAAGAATGTCACTCAGAGGATTTAACCCTGAAGTTGAGAAATCAATGCTGCGGACGAATGCCAAGAACAAAGCAGAAGTTGTTAAAGATAAAACAGAGGAGGTCGATGTGTCAGATGAAGAAATGGCGAGAAGATATGAGACCTTGGTGGGGACAATTGGGAAACAGTTTGCCAAGAAGAGAGACCGTGCCAGTTATGAAGAAGACGAAAATGGAGATGTCAAACTGCCTAAAGCAAAGAAGACGTTCTTAAAGCCCCAAGATTAAAATGGATGCCTTAAGCGATGGCTCAGGGATGCCTTGTGAAAGTCAGCAGCGTATTTTGGAACTCGTCCTGATGGTGTCCCTGTGGTTACTAACACTGTAATGCCTATTTGTAAAGAGATGTATAATTTGGGAACGTGCTGTTTTTGAAACAGATGTGTGAAGGATGTTGTACATCCTTTGTTGAATGGTAGTCACTGAGAGTGGACTTTTACCCCTTGATCTTCAAACGTACGTCAGTACAGCGTTGCTTCCTAAAGATTATTTGACCTCAAGTTTTTTTAATACAGATCTCCAGTCACTGACCTTGAGTTGACTCATACAAATTAATACCAATGTTTAAATTGCCCTTATGTTTATGTTTTACTTTAAGTTATTAATCATGTCAGGCCAAATCATACATACATTTGATTTGACATATATCAAATGTCATAAAAGTTTATCATATGTAAATTCATTAAGAACAAACACACCTCTCCAGCCTGAAGTATCTGCATGCTACCAGGTCATTGTCAGTTAATGGTATTATGGTTTTTTATTTACACCGTCTAATTAAAAAAAAATTGTTCTGTAATAAACATCTACTTTCACCTTAAAAAAAAGAAAAAAGAAAATACAACCGTATGCCAACAAATTAGACAACCTAGGTGAAGTGGACCAATTCCTAGAAATACACAAAGTAGCAAATTGACTGGGACAGAAGTAGAATGTCTAAACAGACCTATAACAAGAAGACTGAATCAAAACCCCCCAGCAGGTGAAGAGAGTAAATTTTATGTTATATGTATTTGATCGCAGGCTAAGGAAAAAAAAAAAAAGAAAAGCCCAGAGCCAGAGGCTGCACTGGTGGATTCTCGGCGCGGAAGGAGGACCAGTCCTTCTTGGCCTCCAAAACTAAAGAGGGAGCACGTCCTGACTCGTTCTGTGTGGCCAGCATCACCTGAATACCAGCTCAAGACAAAGATACTATAAGGAAAGAAAACTGTAGGCCAGTATTTCTTATGAATATAGATGCAAAAATTCTCAACAAAATACCAAAACACCAAATCCAGCAGAGTATTAAAAGGATTATAGGGGGAGGAGGGGACGGGTATTTGCATACACAAGGAGTGCAATGCGCACCACCTGAAGGATGGACATATTTGAAACTCGGACTTGGGGGAGGGGGCCGGAATAAA